GCCTTCTCTCCCCCTTTTTTTGTTTTTTCTCACCATATAATTCACTCATGACCCGCCAAGCTGACAGGACAACACAGGTACATATTAAAATTCTTATATGGCCCCAAAATTCAACCCAATTTCATGTGCTCTAATGTCGAATTCAAACACATCAACCGTCACTGTCACTGTGTTCACACTCACTGAAAACACACTCAGAGCGCGCCGCACACACAGCCAGAGCGCGCCTTACACACACAGCGCGTTTCACCATCAGTGAGACACACAGAGAGCACTCCTCATCAGCGGAAGGTTACACAGAAACCTCTGAGCTCAACTGTTAAAATTCTTCTGAAACACAACAACCAAAGACCAAATACCCCTTTCTCTGCGCTTATGGCCGCCACAACGGGGCAAAATCGCATCGTAAAAGTGATGCCTGCATCCCCGAGGCTCTTACTGACACCATAAACCAGGTTCTGCTTTACCTTTATTTCATGGCAAGTAAAATTTTACTTATTATTTATGACAGCAGCCCTCGTTGCACCACTGCACCACAATGTACTGATTGAAACCAGCACAAACCACTACTGCACTTCCTGGCTGCACCACCGCAACACGGCCGTATCATAAACCAAAGCCTATGGATGTGTTGCGCTCTCACGTTGCCAGCGTTCAACTGCTCCGTAAGCCAGCATCTGCTTTTCCTTACTTCTATATTAATTTCATGGCCGCATCAACAAAAGACTCAACCGACATCATAACCAACTTCAAAACCTCGACTTCAATGTACTGAACTTATGGCCGCGTCTCCAGAAGAAATTCTAATGTATTATTGCTACAGAAGCCAGTTTTAGACTAAGTTAAATGTGGAAGGTAAAGTGGGCTGCAACTAGTCCAACGTAGTGTGTTATTAGTATCTCGGTAGAAGCAGTTTACTTAACACACTGGAATTCAGCCTCAACTTATGTTGTTAGTATCTTGTGCCAAAAACCAGACACCGACAAATTTAATGTGAAAATACGTGTAACTCAGCGAACAGATTAATTTGGAAAGCCCAATATGCATATTTGGTATAATACAACAGGCTGTGCTTACCTTTTTATTTTTGGACATGTCCTCTGTTCGCCTCGCCTCACGATCTCACCAAAGGCCAAATCTGCACCTCCTCAGCACACCAAAGATCCGGGTCACACGGCACCAAGTTGTTGAAAT